CTAGGACAAAATTATGAACGATTAATATTTATTTAGTGTGAACATAGACAGTGATGACTGTGCATGGTTGTATACATTAATTTAAAAATGATTGTTAAAAGCTTTAGTCCACATTCTCACTCTGTCAGGCCTGCAATGCATAAGTGCTTGTATATTACAAACTTATGTATAGAATATTCCCAGTTAATGCAATATGATGTGTTTTCTACATCTAAAAGTTCTCCTTTAACGTTTTAAGAGTAATATCCCCATGCTGCCTAACTTTACAAATTTTGTTTTGTTTTGTATAATCACAACATTGTACATATTGTATACAGTATGTCCTGCATAGGCTGTAATCTAAATCTGTTCAGTACATGGATTTGTGGTCCAGATGGATGCTTGAGACTGTGGGATGATTTCTTTCAACAAATTTACAGTTTATTACGGTTTATTTTATTAATCAAAATTAATGGATAAGTAATATTAACAGTTTTAAAGTGTTTCATATCAGTAAGGGTCAAAATTAACCTGGTTTAGTTCTTCAGTGTTTCTTCTCCAGATATTTAATGCATGTTACCTTTGTTTCCCAGAAGGTCAAACTTCCTCCATTCAGGGGAGCGTGTTTGTGTGTGCGTCTGTGTGTGTGTGTGTGTGTGTGTGTGTATGTAAAGATCATGCCAAATTACCCTGTGCCTAAAATGTTTTCATCGAGCTCCAGACATGTGTTTTCAATGTTCTTTAAATACGCTGCCTACACACACATACATACACACACACACACACACACACACACACACACACTTCCAGCGCCAGATAGTTAAATTAAACCCCTCCCTTGTTGTCTCAGAGACAAAGTTACATTTTTGTTCTTTTGGCTTCAGATTACATGTGAATAAAATACTGATAAAAACAGCAATGAAAAACATCACAAATTACAATTACAGCTATTATTTATGAGTCTTTTTAAGTAAATCCCAAGAAGAAGTTCAAAATCTCTATTAATGCAAGATGCTAAGTCATAATTATGAGAAATAAATTCAGTTTTTCTTTTTCCTTTGTGAAGAAACATGCTTTTAAAAGCTGTGTTTGGACCAAAGGGACTATACCCCGGAACTAGGAACCTTTGGAGGAACTCAATGCGTTTCCACCGAAGGGACCAGAGTCTAAATTTAGTTCCAGGGTCTTTATTTTACCCCACAAAAAGTCCCTACCGGTACTTTGAGGGGGTGGGGCTTGCCTTGCAGTGAATTTCTGAATGGGCGAGTAGAGGCTACAAGCTTTAAATCGAGCATGACAGCTGTTTTTCTACAACTTCTCCTCTCTTTTCCACCTTGTTTGCAAGCCAATAAATCACAATCAGCAGTCAAATACCACACAAGTCTCACCTGAGATTGTACGTCGGCATTAAATGTGAGAAACAGCAGTCAGCATGCCGCGGTGTGTTTACAGCGAACAGCTGATTGAGTTAAGCTAAATACTTGTTCCGAAGCTGTTGTTTTAAATTTCCATCAGTCAGGACATTTTTACACAGAACTGAAGTGGGTCTCCTCCTCTCCAAAACAAGTGGAACAGCTGATTACAGCAGGTAATAAAGCTCGTTAAACATCCCGTTCCTCCGATGCTCAGGCGACACAGACGTGATGCTGTGGCTGATCTTCTAAAACTTCTAAACTTTCGTGATTTTATTTTTTGTGTTGCTTATATGCTGTAGTTATTTTAAGAACTTGATGGCTTTATCCAATTTGTTATTAAATGTGTAACAGACTTTGTCACGTGTCTCTTCATTATACTCCCACACAAAGAAAAAGCTGTTTTTAATGGTCGAGCAGAGCCTGTTGTTTTTCATTATATTCCAATCAAATCTGATGTTCATTTACAAATTTTGCTCATAGATAGTGGTTACAAATAATAATGCCTGTGCATCGCTTTGTACGGTGTACAGGTCTACAGCCTACGTCAGCTCGTTAATTTGCCTTCTGTCTTCGCAGGTCTTTAGACCACGGCGGAAACGCACACAACAGTGGGCTGAAGGAACCTTAAAAGTGCCGCGGCTATTGACAGAATGCATTCCCTAGCACCTTACCCTAACCTAAACCTAATTTTAACCTGAATCCTAAAATCAGTCTTAATCCTCTAAAAGCAGTCTCTTTCGTCCCGACTGGTTAGTGTGCATTAAAGTTAAAGTCCTCACAGGGATATACAAACATAAAACATACACATCCACACACACACACACACACACACACACATACACACACAGCCTCTGCAGTCTTGTAAATCCAGGTTGTGTTGATTCCAGCAGCAGTAGAAGTTTATGAGGGTTTGGATGGGAGAATACTGGCTGCTCAGGTCACGACATGGGGTTACCGTGTGTCTGTGTGTGTGTGTGAGTGCGCTGATGGGTTGGAGATTCAAGAATGGGAGTTTTGATGTTGTTTTGTCTTTGTTGTGTTGTCTGATTTTGTAAGTATGAACTGCAACCAACATGAAGTTTGCAAGTACAGCTTGTACAACTCGTTGCATGATCATGCAACCCCGTCTTTAATTAAAGGACTACAACAGTTTCATTATTTAAAACAATTTACTACAAGTTATATGTATATATATGTATATTACATTACATCCAACTCTTCCCTGTCTCCTATCAGACATAGTTTCCTATCTTCAATAATGGAAAGAGAAAATGAAGATTGCTGTCAAAGTTATGTTATTGTTGCATAGAAATACAATTGAAAACACAAGTTAACTTCAAAAGTTTGCTGATGTGGCGGGATCAAGTTCGGGTGAGAAGTCTGACATCTGTTATGTGACAGTAATCTGCAAACAGCAACCCATTCGATTTAAGAAGCTTAGGAAACACTCGCATCACCTCTGTGAAATAGGCACTGGTGAACTAACAGTGGTCCAATGTAATGCTGATGGTTTGTACCAAAAGAACATGAACAACAATGACATCAACTGTGTGTCTTCAAAATGATAGAGCTGAACTTGAGGACACTCAGATGTTTGTGGGATGAAAACTGAATATTAGATTAGCAAGAAGAATGAGTGTATGTTACATGTCAGACCCCAGAAGAGGCTGCCAGCAGCTGTGATGCTTTAATGTCTCATGTTCAGCTCCAAGAAGAAAAAAAATATCAGCCCGTCTTTCTCTGGATTCACTGCTCTTGTTCCTTTTTAAATTTTTTTCCCCCTGTGTTTTATTGCAGGCAGTAAAAGTCGGAGCCAAAACCTGCTGGACTCTTTTATATAGAAAACACTAAAACGGCAAACAAGAGCTGATCACGAACATGGTTGAAAGGGAAAGGGAAAAATGGATGTAATAGTGGAAGATAAATACAGACACCCTGAGCATATCTATCAATGTAAACATAGTGTGGAAGTGAAAAGAGAAGTGAAATTGTAGATAACATGATGAGACACAGGGCTTGATAGTCTCAAAAACTTCTTTAAAAAAAAAACAGTTCAGCTTAGAGAGTCCAAAATTACATCAGGAAGGGGGTCAATGGACCCCAGTATGGAGCCCAAAGCCAGGTAATACAAATGAGGAGTGTGGTGAGACACCATACATCTGTGATAAACATTATACTGTAGCTCTCTCAAGGACCGAACACCACCTCCGAACACTAAAGGGACAATTAAAATAAAAACGGAGCTTATATTGAGAGACTTCACAAAACACCTTATCAAAAACAATTATACTTGGTATTAACATGTTATGCATGCTGTGTTGTCTTATGTTGTATGTACCCAAAGACATGGTTCAAGGGTTTATTTGTAGAGCCTACATTTCAAACCTTGTTAAATATTAATGTGTCCAAGCCCTGTAGTTCTACCTCTTCTGGGTCCCGGTGCTCTACATCTGAGAGGAAATCTGAGCAGGTGTAGTGAAGAGAGACCTCTGCTGTTCCAACACAGAGCTGAGGAATCACATTAACCTTTACACACGTGTACATAAACTTTTTTAATAATAACAGCCATTATGGAAGTAATAAACATTTTCAGCTATCCCCTTGCTGTAAAGATAACACATAAGCCATTAAATTTTGGATAATTATTGATTATTTATCATAATACTATTATTAATTATTAAATATATTTACTTTTAAGAAGTCAATTGTGAGAGAAGTGTTAAAGTTAATATTGCATTGCATTTATAGTACATAGTTTTGGCCTTTAGTAGCATAGTATCACATGAAAAAACAATAATTACCTGAATCGACCTTGAAACTGCAAGCACGTGAAGCAAGCATTGAAGTTAACAGAGCAAAGCATTAAATGATTACAGTGGTTAGACGGCTAATATAAAACCGTATAAAACAAACACACTAAAGCACTCAACTGTATCTTTAACTGACAGGCTGTTTTGTTTTTACGCTTAAGTTAACTCAGCTTATATCAAGGGCATCACTTTGTGTTGTGGTGGGGACATAAGGACTCAGATTAGGGGCGTGATGATGTACATGGATCGTGACGATGCATGAGAACAAGACGAGAAGATTTTTAACACTATTTGAATAGAAAATGCTGAAACCTATGAGCGGTGGGGTCTGGGGGTTCTTAATTTCCTGCTTTCTGCTCCATGTCTTTTTTTATGTAAAACAAAACAAAGAATTCTGCTGGGAGACAATGATAATTCATAAATATAAAAACACAACAGAATATAATGCGGTAATCAGCTGCTTGTTCTTTTTAGCTATTTAGTTTTTTTTGGACAATGAACATTTGCTTCTCCTATATTTAAATTGCATTGCATGTTTTCTTAGTGTGGAAATAAATCTTTATCAAAACATTTTCCTTTCTTGGTGCTATCTTTCAGAACATTTTTAACAAATCAGCCATTTCAAAATGTGGTGGGGACATGTCCCCAGCGTCCCCAGTGTAAATGACACCTACAGCTTATTTTTGGACAAACATTACAATCAAAAACAGCTAGTATTTTACACTTAGGAGGAATTTGCTATGGTGATTAGGTGCATAGACATAAATATACAGTTGACATAAATAAAGATGGACTAAACACATGTTATAAAAGAATAATGGAAACATATGTAAAAGGAAAAAAAAAAACAATGTGGCAGTTAACTATGTGTTAAATAAAATATTGGCACATTAATGGGTAACTGTATCTGAAAAAGTAACGATGGTAGCCGGACTCCAGTGCTGGACCCTCTTTGTTTCACCTCTTTCACAGACCACAGCAGCAACAAGTGTGGCACCGCCGCAGTGTTTGTCCCTGCCCGGCTGCCATCCGTCGGAGAGAGGCGGCTACCAGGACCAACACAACTGTCAGACACAACTTCTGCTTTCACTGCGCCGCACTGATTTTTTAGGTACGAAAAAATGTCATAGCTCAGTGTTTCTGCCGCGACACTTACACAGTTATCCGGACATATCTTAGAGGTGCAACATCACATATCTCCGCGACGTTTTTCCCCGAGGTCAAACTGGGAGTTGGTAAGTTTAGTTAGCTTCTTTAGCAGCCGTAGCATTGAGCTAGCCAACTTCAGTCTACACGCACGTTTATTATTAATGAATAATAATACACGATCTGGCTTCATTCTTCATTCAGGAGAAGGAAAAAAAACCGTGTAACGTTAAACGTGTTGAAAAATGTATGTTTCCGTTATTATTCTGTGACAGAACACGTCTGCTGTTTATTAGCCAAGTTAATCTCTGTGTTGGCTTTTAACGTTAGAGCAGCGATTACGGGCTCCGTGTTGATGTGATGTTTCCACAGATACCGACACAGGTGGGTAACTTAGTGTTGTATTTTTTATGCAAGGGAGAGCTGGTAAGGAGCATGTAGCAACAAGTGCAAACCTCTCTAATCGTTTTACTGGGGATTGAGCTGTTGTGACATGTCAGCAGTGCCATCACAGACAGTAAAGCTCCCAGTGGAACAATTCGTTGGATAACATGACAAAAGACGACTGAAATGAATGTCCGGAGAGCGTGAACGTTTATTCTTGAACTTGGAAATGTTAAGTTTGACAAAATAATCTTAACTCAACGTTTCTGAGAGTCCTGGAAATTGTATATTGCTGATGAGGGATTAAGCAAATAATTGAGTTACAACAAACCATTGTCTTTGAAAAAGTTATTTAAAAAAAGAGAATAAACTAAAAACACATATACAGCTGGTCCAGAGACCTTCTCAGTCGTCTGGTCCCGAGCAAAGGGATACATAATCATTTACACAGTCCTCTACCAGCCTTGAATGAACATTCAAGGAGAGGAACAGCATGAGAGGAAAATACTAAATAATAAATAATCTTACAGCTCTGACCTGAACTCTACATATATGAACAGACTTATAAAGAGTATAATAGAAAGAAAAGGTCTTAAAAGAAACACACACACACACACACAGACATATGTGTGTGTGTTGTGTTTATTATAGCAAAGACATAACACTACTACTACTGCTAATAATAATAATAGAAAGATTAAATGTAGGGAGAAACAATTTTCTGCCATTACACTGAGCAAGCTGATGTGGACTGTAAGATACATTTGAAAGGACTGATGCCGATATTTAGAGAGCAGGGTGATGGTCGATATGTAATGCCGATACCAAAAGAAAGAAAAGTCATTTATAATACCATTATTCCATGCAGAGTACAATCTAATATACATGGTTATCTTAGCCAGTAATGTGTTGTTTTAAATTGAATTATAATTAATCAATGAAATACAAAAATAGATTAGGTTGTGCTGTAGACTTCAGAGCGTGACTGGTGTACAGTACATTCGAAAGAGACGTCATTCAACTGCATTATCCTGTACAGTACAACAATGTAAACACCAGATCTAATCTAAAACTAGTAATGGTTTCATTTAGGATGATATATCGTCTGACCGGTCTATCACTAGTTGAAAGTCTTGGAAAAAACTATTAAGTGGACCATGAGTGATGATTTGTTTTAGTAAAACTATAACGATAATATTAACGAGCATAATGTTTCCAATATACAGTTGCAGGAAAAAGTATGTGAACCCTTTTGAATTACCTGTATTTCTTCATAACTTCAACATACTTTTCCCACCCTGCACTGTGAATGTGTACACGCTGTGTTCACCAAAAACATTAAAACATATAATTGTTTGTGTGGTATCAGTTTAAGCAGACTGTGTTTGTCTATTGTTGTGACTTTGATAAAGATCAGGTCACATTTTATGACTGATTTATTCTGAAATCCATGCAATTCAAAAGGGTTCACATACTTTTTCCTGTGACTGTAAATATATGATATGGAAGGGGAGATCACATAAATCAAATGTTTAATGCAATAACACAGTTGAACACTCTTAGAATATTATTATTAAGTTTTAGATATTGCCATGTCCTTTCATATCTGTGCTAACATAAGGTGACAAAATATTCACTGTCATGGATTACCAATGTCAACCGAGTTTGTGTGTAGTGTTGATTTTAGCATAATGAAATGAACGCATATCCTCTGTGGACAGTTGCAAAACCAATAACTATATATATATATATATGATATTATTTTATAGTTTGAAAACAGTCAGCACTTTGGTCCTCTTAATAGTGTTTATAAAAGTTAACATTTGAATATCGTCCTGATCGGAGAACAAACTGATGTATAATAATAATAATAAATAAAATAATGTCTTTATTGCACAAGCCACACTTCATGTTAGTCAAGTAAAAACTGCATATTTGTTTTTTGTTTTTTGACAAAAAAAGGTGTTTTATAAAGAACAAGCACCTGAAGTAAACACCTGACCAAAGATGCCTTCACTGTCCTGTGGAATGGAGAGTCTGAAGTGATGGAGAACAGAGAGGAGAGGTACACACACACATTTGATCTGTCCCTGTCCTGATTGCATCTCCCCAGCTACCTCCAGTGGAAACATGTCGAATTTGAGTTGGTTTGGATAGAATGTGTTTAGGCTCATGGTCTGTGTATTTATTACATTTAAGGCCCATTACAGGCTAACGACAGTGATTAATTTGTTTGCGTTATTGCAGCCCTGCAGATGAGCAGGCCCCCACACCTCCAGAGCGAGGACTGCTTCACATCTGGCAGTCGACGGGCCCCAGTGAGCAGCTCTGTCCAGAGCGAGTGCTGCTGTCCAGGCCTGTCCTGCAGGTCGCCCTGGGTGAACACCATGGTCTCTTGCTAATACAGGGTGTGTGTTTGTGAGTCAAAGTAGGGCTGTATGATAGTTCAGTGCTGTCACTCGGATAAGCGGATTGCGATTTTAATTTCTCATATTAAGATAATGTTCGGCGTTCTCCTTTCTGAACATACAAATTGAAGTGTCGAAGACAAACCCTCAGCAGGGCCAGATGTCTTCAGGTACTTTTTACACACAAAACTTGGGTCGAACAGAGTATGCTGCGATTTTTTTTACTGAATATTCAAAACAGAATACAGGTGCATCTGAGCTGGTCGCTATTTCGTTTTTATACACTTTCTCACTTATGTGGGCCTTATTGTGAGGCCCACCTTCTCTAAACGTATCCTGCTTTCCTTACCAAAAGTGGCTTTGTTTAAAAATAAAGGCATCTTTTCCCCTCATGGCTGGCATCTAAAATGGACTCTTTCCCTTTTTGTAGAACTAATGGTGTCTCTTTCCTTCAGCAGACATGTACAGATTTATGCACATTAATTCTCTACTTCTGTTCTCATGATGTACATTAACTGTCTATTCCCTATACAGTACACAGAAAGCAGGTTAATTTCGCTATCTGTCCTCATACACACGTATACTAACTGGAGACACCATTACAATCCACAATCCATCTTGAGATATTAAATGTAAATGTTTTATCACAACATAAATGGTTGTCAAACTTAATTATTTATATATCAGGGATGATCAGGAAAAGAAATAATTCCCACAGAAGCGTGAGATTTTACTTAGTACTTTTTTTAATTGATTAAGCCTATTAATCAATGAATAAAAACGAGTCATGAGTATGAAGTGATTCTGAATCATTCAGGATCATTGAGAAAATATTGTAACATAATATCAAACATAATTTATTGGAAGCGGAGATTTTCTGCGGGGAAGCCTTGTCCAAATTAGACGCCTGTCCTTTTTACTGGCCTATTGTGTGGCTACACGTGTTGACAAATAAATGCAGGTCTTTAGTCCATAAAGGTCCACCGATCAAAAAGTTTTTCAAAAAAATTGATCCAAGTTGAAATTACTACAGTAAACTTCAGTTTTTATCCTTTCAACATTAGTCTCTCTTTCTGTTTCTGTGCGGTTGGCCTAGATGGCCTGTCTCTCAGAGCTAGATTAAATGAATGACTCATAATGTAATATATAAAGTAATATTCACACTGGTTGAAATAAACATTTCCATAGTGGCCTAGTATCTCCCATCTTTACTGAGTTTTGTGTGAAAGATTTAAGCCTGTCCCATAAATAGGCAAGGTGAGCAAATAAATGCCTGGGCTATTATTTGAAGTTTTACGGTAACAAGTAAAGAAGTTCTACCCTGAGCTACAAGTGCGTCGGAGACGTCTTAAAGTCAAAATGAGCGTTACAGTTGTTGCTGTCTTCCAGGCGGTCTGGTGTATTCATTTGGTGAGCTGTTGTGGAGGGATCTGAGCATCCCAGTGTCCTCTCCGCTCCAGGAGGTCTCTCTGCTGGGGAGGACGGTGGTCCGTGTGGCTGCCGGCGGCTTTCACTGCGGAGCGCTGAGCGAGCAAGGCACCGTCTTCATGTGGGGGGAGAACACTGCAGGACAGTGTGGGCTTACTGACAGGGACACAGACACAAGTATCACAGGTTGGTCAGAAACTTTCCTTCTGTCTTACTTCCTTCTTTCTGTTCTTCACCGTGTCCACACACTACTTGCCCTTTTCACTTTCTTCTTCCCTCAGTGTCTGCATCTAATCCTTCATTCCTATAATCCATTGTTGAGAAATAGGCAATTTTTTGGCCTCTTTTTTTTCCTATCATTTGTCTTTCTTTAAATTTGACTTATCCTTTTTCGTATCTAGTCAATTGCTAAATGTGTTTGTCAGACAATAAATAAGAAATAAGCTATGTAAAATATCCTGTGTCAGTTTCAGAGCCATGCCCAGTGACTGTGGTGGACAGTGACGTTGTTCCTCCAGCTGTGGTTCGGGTCGTGGATCTGGCTTTAGGACGGGAGCACAGCCTGGCTCTGTCGGCCCAGAATGAGCTGTGGGCGTGGGGCAGCGGCTGCCAGCTTGGCCTGGTCACCAGCACCTTCCCTGTATGGAGGCCAAAGAAGGTAAGTTTTTGTAAGGCTCAATAAATTTCAGCATTCGAAATTCAGAATGAATAAATTAACTTTATTTATATAGCACCTGTCATGCACAGAATACAGCTCAAAGTGCTGCAAAGTTCAAAACATAAACAAGAATGAAGAGAGAGAAGGAGTTACTCTATATAAAATAGCATTAACACATTTCTTAGAACAATTAAAACCGAGAGCTGCTGGTTGTAGGCTATATTAAAAATAAACTATTTGAGTTGTGACATTGGGAATAGATAAATAGAGTTGCAATGATTAATCGACTTGTTGTCAACTATTAATTAATAGCCAACTATTTTGATAATCGATTAATTGGTTTGAGTTTTTAAAATAAAAGTCAACATTCTGTGATTCCAGCTTCTTAAATGTGAATATTTTTTGGTTTCCTTACTATATGACAGTAAATGTAAAATCTTTGGGTTGTGGACAAGACATTTGAGGAGACATCATCTTGGGCTTTGGAAAACAATGATTGACATTTTTCACGAAACAAATAGGAAATAATCAACAGTGAAAATAATTGTTACTTTAAAAAGCAGTGGAGGATCTTACGGGTCATGGAAGATCATAAAGTGATAGGGAGTCTGAAATAGAATGGGACGTGGCCATTTAGTGCTTTAAAAACGTGTTTTTAATTTTATGACCGCTCATTTCAGTTGTTATTAAAACGCTGACAGTAGCATTCTGAAAGGTCTGCCCTTTTGCAGTGGCTGCTTTTGATGTATGTATGTATGTAGAGTATATGAAAGCCATTGACTCAACCCTGTTGTGGGTATTGAAACTCTTTACTATTGATTATTTTCAAACTGGGGAGAGAGCCAGTCAGACTAATGTGTTAACTGTTTGATGGTGAACTGATGGCCTTCTTGTATGTGTGTGCATGTGAGCACTTGACAAAACTGTCAATTTAAATGTAATTATTACAATTTAATTATTTACATCTCTGGCACAGGTGGAGCACTTGGCAGGCAGGCATGTAATTCAGGTAGTTTCTCTTCCTGTTATCTTTGTTGCCACATTTAAATTACAGTGAATGCAAATGTTCTGTGTCCAGAAATACCATCTCTATTTATTTCCCACAGGTGGCTTGTGGTGCCTACCACAGCCTGGCCCTGGTTCGCAGTTTACCTCCACAGAACTACAATACCCAGAATCCTTCGGAGACAAGGGAGCAGGGCCAGTCACCTCACCTCTTAGTGACAGAGAGGGAGGAGCCGTGTGCAGTTGATACTGGTCACTACTGTCCGCTGGGGGTGGAGCTGACTGAAGGCATGACAGGCGAGGTAAATAAACTCCAAGAGGAGAAATCATCCTGTCGCAACCAGAAAGATATGAAACTACATAATCTAGAGGCCGTAAAAATCTGTTACGACATGATCTTTGATTTACAGAGATTTTGGGTTGACTCCCAACTTTGGTTTGCATTCCCAGACCTCTCCCAGAAGAAGAGCCCAAGGACGAAGTCTCCAACCTGGGGGAAGGTCAGCTGGCAGCAGTTCATGTCCATTTTCTGAAGACTGCAAATCTAACACTAAACAGTACAGAATGACTCATGGGTCTCTCTTTTATACTTAAATCTTTACATTTTTGCATGTAATGTTTTGCTATTTCAGTTATTCTGCGTTCTCTCTCTTTCCCTTCTCTCCATTGCAAAACTTCAGGAAGAATCTTCCAGTTCACACCAAGCTCGAGCCAGGTGGGCACACCGACCCTCTCACTCAGTCAGACAGCAGCCTCAGGTCTCACCCACTGTCAGGCTGGAGAGCCAGTGACAACTCCGCTTTCCCTGACGAAATGGACATTCAGAACCTCCTCCAGAAAATATCTAGTCAGTCATTTGAGATGCGCCACATCGCTGGACCAGGAGATACCGACTCACTGAGCAGTTACACTTCAGGTTGGTGATTCAGTTCTGTTCTGTCTCCTTTTGTTTTGAAGTTTGTTTATTTGTTCATATCTTTATCCCTGTGGTCTTTTGGCTTTTTGTTCCCAAACTTGTTTATTCTTTTTCACTAGTTCCTTTCCTGTAGCTCGTTCATTTTGTCGTTCATTGCTTCTTTGATTCTTCCCTCATGCATTCCTTTGCTCGCCCCGTTGTTTGTTTTGACTTTGGTCTTTGCAAGTTTTGTATTTAATATATTTTCTTTCACCTCTGGAAAAACATCTCTGTTTTTCTTCTGTCTCTCCCGCCATCGTTCTCTCCAGATGACAGTTGTGTTTCCTCAACTCCTTCCACGGATCTGTTGACTTCCAGTTACAAAGAAGACTCACCAATTAAGAGTCAAACCAACAAGTAAGACCAAGTTTATTTGACAATGAGGCACTTTTTAGGCAATTAAATTAATCAGTGTGTCAATAATCTCATGTTGAGAGGTAAAATAGCATAATGAAAACTTTTATTGCTATTTTGGTGGATCTTTATTTTATTCAGAAGATGTTCTGCTGATGCAGATACACACTCAAACTAAACTCAGTTATGCTGCAGTATCCACATACCAAGGTGCCTCACATAAGGCGAATTTGAGCCCTGATTTTTGACCTCCTTTCCCACAGTAACAGTGGAGTGGCCGTGCCGTACTCCTCCTCCCCAGTGTGTTTGGAAGAAGTTCGTCTTTGTCTGGAGGCGGAGAAGCAGGCGCTGCAGGGCCAGAAGAGCTACAGTCTCACAAACATAAACCAGACAGGGAAATCAGGAGCAAACCTGAGACGCTCCCTGCCTGGAACACCCATATGTGGTAGGAATGGTAGGGTGTGAACAACTACACTTTTGGGAGATCATTTGTTTTTTTGCCAAGAGTTAGATGAGAAGATTGATACCCTGAGCTTTAAGTATGGAACCAGGATGCTATTAGCTTAGCATAAAGACTACAAGAAACAAAGATTTAAAGCATGTAACTCCCTCTAAAATTATAAGTTTTTACATTTCTGTTTTGTGTTTTAAAATAAACCAGCAAGATACATCATGTTAATTAGCCATGAGCTTTAGAGGTGCTGCTAGGGGTGTTTTTTAATTTTGGATAGAGCCAGGCTTGCTATTTCCCACTGTTTCCAGTCTTTATGCTAAGCTTTTTCTGGCTTCATTAAGTGTGCTATTGCCTGTGGAGTCTTTATAGATGCCAGGCACCAGACAACATAATTATCATTTTAGCAACAAAATATGCCACCTCAGGCTGCCAATACACTTCTCATACATTTTCTGGTATCAGTGAAATAAACAAAATGAGCAGTTTCTGCCTGTTTCAGACGTCATCGTTGTTATCTAGAGGTAACAGTATTTGCTTTCTTGAGATAACATGACAATTAACTTGTTATCAAGAGAAAATTTAAAAAATGACTTCATTTAAAATTAGAAAGCTTATTGTTACAAATGCTGGGCAGACAACAGGATTTGACCTTCAGGAAAACCGGTGACGCAGAAGACTAACTTCTTGTTTTCTGTTTGCTCATAGTTTCAGGAGTGTCAGAATGAAAGTCTGATTTTGAATAGAAGTAAACAGTTGCTAACATTTGTTAACCTGTGTGGCTGCACAGAAAGGTTTATACCAACTTTAACACAACTTATCTCATGTTTATATTCTTACATTAAGAGTCAGAGTTTTTCCTTTAGTTTTTCCTGCTTTCTGTTGTTATTGCTGTGGGTCCTCAACTTGACAGACATGCTGTTTTGGGGATACAGAGTTTTACAGTTGGTTTCAGAGGAGCTCACTAAGTCGTTAGGGTGTGTTCATACCAAACCTGTTTGGTGCAGTTTAGATGTGAAGTTTATTAAATGTGAGGTGAGAAAATTGCAGTCTGAACATCTGGTGCAGTTTGTTTGTGGAGAGAACGCAACACAGCCCGGCTACAGGCTTATGTTATGCTTGTTATGTGTGACACTTTGTGTATAGATTTTCTCTGATCATGTCTGCTATTCCCTCTCTCATGTTGCCGTAGGAGACACATCGTCTACTTGCTCTGTTTGTAGTCGCTGTTGTTACATACAACAGATGAAGTGCATTTGCAGTCTTGACAGACGCTCAAATGTAACTAGTAGGTGATGGTTCAGTTGGTTAAAACAACACTGTAACCAGGACTTTCTCATTAGGTCGTGTGTTTTTCTTTCAGGGTCTCCACGGCGACGGCGGCCTTGTCCCTGTAGGCCATCGTCTGCTGGTCGAAATCACGCTGCTGCACCGGAGGAGGCCGGAGACGGCCTGCCGTATCTGGAGACAGAAGTGTGGAGCTGGGGCCGCGGGTCTGAGGGGCAACTGGGCCACGGAGATCAGCTCGCTAGGTGTGGACACACAAACGCACACACCACTTAAAATATATCCTGTATGTATGTGTGTGTTTGTGTATATATATGTGTGTATATATATACAAACATATATATATGTGTGTGTGTGTGTGTGTGTGTGTTTGTATAATACACACATATACCACTTACACCACTTATAATATATCTTGGCTTGTATAGATATATTCTACATTTACAAAAATCAATATGAGAAAATAATACGACAGAAAGAGGTAGACGAAACATCTCCTGTATAGACAAACTGTTATGTGTGTGTGTGTGTGTGTGTGTGTGTGTGTGTGTGTGTGTGTGTGTGTGTGTGTGTCCAGACTCCAGCCGCTGTGTATCAAGTCTTTAACAGGCGAGGAGGTGATCAAAGTCGCTGCAGGGTCACACCATTCAATGGCTCTCACCGCTCACTGCCAGGTAACATACACAGAGCACACACACACACATACGATGGTTCTTCTATACATGACATAAGATGCTACTCAGCCACTGACACTTTCAATAACTATCATAACTACGAGCCTTACCTTAATCTCAACCTCAACCTTGAGCTGTTAAAGTCTCATACAACACTTTAGGCGAAGTCTGACTAGAATGTCATCACTTTCAGGGTCTAAAAATCAAATTGTTCCTGACCTCACAAACGTAGAAGTACAAGAGCACACGCAGATTTACACAAACCAACTCTCGCGTTTTGCAGGTGTACTCGTGGGGCAGCAACATGTGTGGACAGCTCGGCCACGTCAACAGTCCTGTCACTGTACCTCAACAAGCAAAGGTACACAACAATCTGTTCTTCAAGTCATCCGGTCATTAGTGCTCAACTAATACTAGTCATATATTTATTTGTTTCTTGAAATGCTGATTTCTTCTTCACATATTCACTGACATAAATTCACACAATCGACAACAACAATATATATATATATATATATATACTGCACAGTATACTGTATTCCAGGTACTGTGTGCATGTAACAACAACACATAACAATATACTGTAAAGAAATGTATGAATTTACAGGTTATCATTGAATCATGTTGAAGTCACACAAACAGATCTACAACAAGCCAGTAAATCACCTAATGGCAGTCTGTGTTTTGTCCCTGGCGGGCCACTGTAGCTGTCCGAGGATCTAAGGGTTTGGGACTTGTCAGCCGGTCAGAGCCACTCCCTCCTCCTGGCGGATGGAGACTGTGTCCAGCCAGTCCTGTTGTACTGCGGCCTGCAGCGAGAGCCAATGTCAGCGCAGAGTGAGAGGTCACACCAGAGTCAAAGTTCATGCCAGAGGTCACCCAGCAGAGCAGAGAGTTACACAGTCAGACCCACCCTGCTGCCCTTCTGCATGGAGGTTTGTATGAAACAGAACAGTTTGTGGAACAGGAGTGACAGTAGAGAAGATAATGGGTGGGGCACTTTTCCAACTGTAACACTGGAGTATGTTTTTCTCTTAGTATGGTTCAGAAAAAGTATGCTTGTAAAGCTACATCTGTGGTATTGTATCAGACAGCAGATACATGCATCCCACAGAGACAGCAGTTTAAAATCTGGTTGACACACATTGAACAAAGAGACAAAATAAAAAAAGAAAGAATGCAAGCTTGAAAAAGCCGTTTTCATGCAGTTAATGTGTGACTAACAGTTCTTTCTTCTGTGTATGTGTAGATGGGTTACATTAGAAGTGTGTGCAGCGGCGGTCAGAGTTATGCGTTGCTGGCAGACCAGAACGTCATGGGTTTTATCTCAGCTATCCATGAGCTGGCCTCCAGAGAGAGACAGTTCTACTGCTGGTTGAGCGACGTCAAGAAGCTCCTCCTCACACCGCTACGCAACAGAGGTGTGAGGGTCTCTGTGCTGTGGCATATCTTCTCGGCATTCCCACCTCTGACCCCTTTTACTATTGTGCAAAATACAACAAATAATCTGTGAAATAATGCATGCCGGCCTTGAGCGTCTAGTCAGTGCTGTAATAGTAAATTTTATGTGTGTGTTCTCCTCCACAGAGAATTTGAGTCCGTCGTTAGGTAAGCCATGCGCTGATCTCTTCTTCTCTCTTTGTGAGAGTTTTGTTCGTTTGAGCGTCCTGATCGGTCGACACTCCACGTCACTCAGCTACTTCCTGCACAGCGAGCAGGGCCGTGATGTCACTGCCCTTCCCCTGCTGACGCACACTGATCACTTTCTGGACATTTATAAAGAGTAAGGGTCACCTTTTGTCTGTACACACAAAACGTCCATTCTTGTTAGAAAGAGAAACTCTGTCACATGAGTTCAAAACACAAACCAGAAAGGTGGCATTGTTTTTCCAGAGCAAATAAGCTTGCGGAATTCTCTGTTGACAGTAGATTCAAGGACTGAACAGCCTGAAAAATTTCATTTCAGCAATAGTAAGAATACCACTGATGTTAGATAGAGGATACAAGTTGTTTTCACCAAGGACTTACTGATTATTTAACATTCCTCTATTGTATCTAAAATAAAACATCTCCTTGCCTCTGTGTCTCTCTCCAGGTATTGCTCTTCAGTAGGTAACTTCCATGTGATGGGTGGATTCCAATCACTCCATAAACTCTCACTGTAAGCTCCTTCATTTCTTCTTTATGTTTTCACTTGTGAGGAGTGCTGCTCGCCTCACTTGCTCCAAAAGTCATCGACTCCTCTGCAAAAGCCGCCAGCAACAGTGCCTTTTTTTTTTTGGTCTCAATGTAGCCTTAATGGTAGCAGGAAAATTATCTCTATTAATTCTGATGATCAAGCTTGGGCTAAACCAGTTTTCCCCCCAAAACAAGCCCCAAGCTTAAAACACATCACTTCCTGTGCAGCAGGAAAGAGTTACCAAACATCAAGTTTTCAGAATTCCATCGACTGAAAACACATTTAGATAAAAATAACTTATTTCTCTTTGTGTGTCTCTGTCCAGCGAGTGTTTAGGCTCTCAGCAGACCACGCTCGCTCTGCTGTGTGTATCAGACCAGTCTGCCAGTGGTGACGTTGATCTGGTTTCGTTGTTGTACTGGCCGCTGCAGCAGCTCCATCAGTACAGCCGAGTCCTGCTCAAACTTGCGGTCTGTTATGATGTGGTGAGGAGCAATCTCTGCTTCTTCTTTCTGTCGGCACTTGTGCTCTTTCTCACTGAAACACTCTTTTGATCTTCCTTTTTTTTCTCTCTCTCTTTCCAGATGTCTGTATTTCCCATGATTGAGTAACTTTTGATATATTGTAACTTATTACTGTCATTGTGTTGGCTCAAATATAAGATGCTCCACCTCTTCCTTTATGAAGATATAGTAAGAGTGATTGAAAAAAACATTATATTCATGTAGCTGGTGCTTTTATCCAAAGCTACTTACAAGAAGTGCACTGAACCGTACAGGTGCATCTCAAAAAATGCGAATGTTGTTGAAAAGTTCATTTTCTTCTGTAATTTAATTCAAAAAGTGAAACTTTCATATATTCTAGATTCATTACACATAAAGTGAAAATGTTCAGGCCTTTTTTTTGTTTTAATCTTGAAGATTACGGCAGACAGCTCATGGAAATCAGAACTCCAATATCTCAAAATATTATAGAATTTTAGAATAAAGAATTTATTATACAGAAATGTCGACCTGAGAAGAGCTCTAATTAGCTAATTAACTCAAAACATATATATATATTTTTTTTGGGAAGCTGTGGGAGATTTTGACTTCATTATCTTTAAACATTGACAATAACACATTTAGAGCATTTTACCGTCTTGACAGAGGTTTACGCTTTCTTGTGTTCAGTCAGTCCCCATCATAATTACTACATTGAATATATTCCACTGTGTCAGCCTCATTTCGTGGGCAGAATTAAAATGGTCAGATTTGCAGCCTGCTAGAATGTCTCTAAACTGTGATCTGTTAATGGAGATACACGTTTGTATAAAAGCTGGCCAAGTTAACTCTTCTGTAGGTTCTGAAATGAAAAGAAAAAACAATTAAACCTCTCTCACTTTTTCTTTCTCACCCCCAGTTAACAACAGAGTATCAGTCCCTCCATCAGGGCTGTGGTCAGTATGAGTCCCTTTCTTTGTCCTTGTTGAGGAGGAAGAAGGAGGCGGAAACCACCTTCCTCTTCTGGAAGAACCACTCTGGAAAAACTACAGTAAGCACAAATCTGTGTTAAGTTATTTAAACCGGCTTTCATTCTTTCTGATTGTACTGTTTAGGTAAGAAAATGTTACATACGGTGAAAATAATTTCTGAGGTCTACTCAGAGAAAACGCCACGCCAGCACACAGGATATAGGAACAGCTTTATTCACCAAACATGGCTTTTGTTGTTCCTTTTAAATCAGATATTATTCACAGAGACTTTTTGCAACAAGTCCTGTAGGTTATCTGATAGCTGAGGTTGAGATCAGGGGTTGGGTTGTAGTTATAGTCTGCAAGTTCTATCAAGCAGAAGGCACAACTCAAGAGAGATACATGTCAATAGTCCAGAGCAGGTAGTGAACGTGTCGCTGTTACATATACTTGATGTCAGTGCTCAGATGGAAACCCTCTTCCCCCAAAACGAGTGAGTGATATGCAGATCAAAGCTAACTAATGTGACCATTAAATCACAAATGTCAACATGTTGATTGTCTTTAGTGGCTAGTTTTCTACAGTGGAACAGAAAGTCTCAAGGTGGTAATTTGTAAATGCAGCATGTCCCTCTACTGAATCTACTCACCTGGTTAAAGCTAGGGTCGCAAGAGACTTTAGATGTATCCAACTGAAATAATCCCACTCCTTCCCTTCCAAATCCACTCCCTCAATACACATGTTCATGTGCAGTGAGTGCACAGACAGAGTGCACAGACAGAGTGCACACAGGTAGGTTGGCTGGGCTTATTACAGGCGTGTGACAGCCACAGATACCGGATATTTTTAGGAGCATTTGATTTATTGATTGCTGTCGGGATGTAAAGAGGTTTTCAACAAATATAAACAAATATAACAAAAAATGCTTCTGAAATACCTTACCACTAGCTTTAATGCAGACAAGGTTACTGGTGAAGTGTAATACACAGTTTTATTCTACAGGTGGTGAGATTTTAATAAAGAAGCATACATGTGTGTTTGTTCATCAGGAGGTTCTGCGTCTGCCGCAGCGCCGTGTGGTGTGTGAAAGCAGCAACAGATCTCTAACTCTGCAGAACGCCGGCGCTTCTCCAACCACTGGTTCATGCTGTTCAATGACGCACTGGTGCACACGCAGGTACACACACACCCAGCACCCAGAAAATCTGTACAAAATGATTGTATTGTACAAAAACTTCAGATTGTATCACCCGCTGTTTAAACATAATCAAAATCTACTTTGTCAGTCTTGTTCAGATCAGACAAAGCTTCCACTGGATCTGTGTGTGCATCTCTTTCTTCCTGCCATTTATGAAAGTTTATATTTGTACATTGTATCTTTCATTCACGCAGGGCGCCATTCCCTCTCAGAGCCTTGTAAGTATATCTGACATCAGTTGAACCACCCTGAGCTTTGTTCCGCAGCAGCATGGGTGGGCTGGCCTCTGCTCAGTGCTTTCACTCTGACAGGTTCACTAATGCTAAAAGGACTTTTTATTGTCTTGCCTGATTCTGAGCTTTAGCCGCCACACAGCAGGCTGCTGTGTGTATATTTGAGTTTAGACATGTTTGCAGTTAATAAGTAGGGGTGTGACGAGATCTCGTCCCTTGAAATCTCGCGAGATTAAATTATGAAAAGATTTCTTGTCAGGTGAAAAGCTGTCTTGCAAGACAAAACATTTTTCACACGCTGTCAAGCCACACATTAATTTTCTCACGCGGTGAAATATAAATGTATCTTAAAACTTATAAGACTCAAAGAGCGAATCAACTCCGCCCAGCTGATTGATACCAGCGTACGCTGAGATAGTAATCAGCTGAACACACTCGCGTTGGGAGTGCAGACAGCTGTGATGAGTGCTAACCACATAACTGGTAGAGTTTTGCAACATAAACATCTAACGTTAGAAACTGAAGCCGGGCTTGCTCTGTTTGGGACTGTGAGCACTTGATGAGCTGTTGAAGTTAACATGTATGTGGATTTATGGTGAGATTTCTGCCTGATCAGAAGTGTTTCAGTTTCTTTCGGTTTCACAAGCAACAGGCAGTCCCAAACTGCGTCGGTCAAACGTTCTGAAGGGGATAACGTTACTACCAGCGGATCAATAACATAACGCACAGCAGAGTAAAGGGCAAGTAGACTTATTAAATGATGACGTTAGTCTAGTAGTAATAAGATTTTTGTGAAAGATATGTGGGAGAGATTCTGAATGTGCAAAAAGTTTTTGACCATGAGCAGAAAATCTGATGAAACACAGGAGTTATTAAAGTCCAGGAGATTATTACCAAATTAAAATTAAATAATGTATCATTCTGGTGAAAATGTGACACAATCACATTTAACGAGGTTACTTTCCCAAACAAAGACACAAAGAAGAGGGAACACTAAATCATGACTCATCAAAAGTTGATCTACAGGAGAAACAGATCTGATAGCAGCACAGAATCACTGAGAGCTGCACTGACTTATATTCTGTTATAGTTAGGCACCTGCCACCTGAATTTCTCTTTAGATAGAAAAATCACCATAAACTGGTGCTTAAATAATCATCAGAATTCAGGAATTAAAGTGTTTAATGCTCAGATAAATCTCGTCTTGCCTCGATCTCGTGAATCCAATCTCAGATCTCGTCTCGTGGGTTAAGTGTCTCGTCACACCCCTATTAATAAGTGGTGAAAACACAAGAAGTCACAGTTGCAGTAGCTCATAGCCCCTAAAGATGCTAGTGAAAAGATGTAACTCACCACTACATTTTAGCTTCGTGTTTGTTATAGTGTAAAACAGTTTGAACCCTAAATCACAGTTTGTTTTCCTCTCCGTCAGATGCAGGGTGGTGTGTTAATAAACAGTAGATAGTGGTGAAACTGTGTGTTATCTGTGGTTTCTGGTTAATGTCCTGTGTTGTGTATGAGAACGCTGACATACAGTTAATCCAGCGTTACACATGTGAACTCATCTCGCCTTGTAAATGTAATAGTTAGACTTTGTTATGTTAAACTGGACAAAATTTAACTGGAAGGAGCATATCGCAGATTTTGCATGTTTTTGTGCATTATTAATAAATCACACATACTTTGCACTTCTACCTTCCGGGCTGCCTTGCTTTTAGTTCAGTCCAGTGTATTGTGAAACTCATTTTACAGGGATTGAAACTTAAGATAAGTGAATCAATCGAAAATCCTAAGGCATGCTGTGGGAAATATTTAAGTTTGGTTAGCAGTGTTTGTCTGGTGTGTTCTGGTTTAGTTTCATGGGCTTAAATAATGAAAAAGAAGTGGTGTGGAAACATAAGTGAAATATCTAAACAAATCATATCAAAACTAAATTGACGAAACGATACTAAATACAGTAAGAGACTTTAATAAAATCAGGAACCAACATTTTTCACACACACATACTGAGATTACACTGGAGATCTTTTGTTTAACTTCCCTGATTCACCAGAAAATTAAAAACTACATTGAGACATGTACATAATGCCGATCTGTTCGTCGCTCACTCACACACACATGATCTGGATTTGGTCATTTCTGAAAACATTGGATTTGGTAATCTCTGATAGTGTGATGACACCTAATGTGAGAAGTATCAGTGTCCCACTTATGCAGAAAGATGGTGATTAAATACCGCCGCTCTGTCTCTCTCTCTGCAGTTCTCCACATTTCACGTCTATCCTCTGACCTGTCTGTGGGTGAAACCAGTTACTGATGACAGCAGCGGACTGTGAGTTTGTTGTATTAAAAAAATGCAAACTATGACTAAAGTAAACCTTTAAAACCTCTTTAAACCATAAAATCCAAGTGGTGAAAGGAAGTGAAATTTGTTCTCTTCGTGCACTTTATATTGACTCAATTCTTTGGATTTAGCATCTAGTGGCCACTACATGAACTGCACTTTAAGGCGCTTGAGCACTGGTGAACATTCAGCCAAGGTGGTTGGCTCATACCTTATTTTTTCTGAAACTCATTTTCATACGATAGCTGGAACATCTCGCTGACAGTGCAGTGGGTCTTAGTTGTACCTGAGACAGGTCAAGTCTAAGCGCAGATACTGACCTGCTTAAAACGTTAATCTGAATCCCATTTTGTATGATTTTTATTTTTTATTTTTTTCCAAAAGCCACAGAAAAAGTGGGTTTTTACATTTTCTGCATCATTTCTGTTAAAACATTTATTCATATAGATCAAGTTTATTACTGTCCTTGTTTTGTGTTTCTTCAGCTATGCCATCAAAATTACATGTCCAGAGGAGAGTTTCACCCTGGTGGCCTCGACACCACAAGAGAAGGTAAATTTATGATTTATACACTTATAACCGCTTATTGCAACTTGGGTGTCATTGAAAATTTGTCATAGCAAATATACTATATAAATATATATAGTATACTGCAAATTTATCAACAAAAAAAAATCAATATTGTTAAAAAAATTAAGCTTCAACGTCAATAGGGATACGATTTGTGAATAAATGATTAGTCTAGGCATTATAAATGGTTCAGCATTATTACTGAACAGTAAAGAGTAGCACATCTTTTTAAGCAAAGCTTTTTATGTCTTGTTTTGGCCATCAGCTGCAAGCATTAAATACAACTACCGTTAGCTGACACTAAGAAACAGGCTGGACGAGGTAGAACACATAATTATGGGAGCAGTAACAGTATCAGGACATCTAGTTGTAAGGGGTTTCAACAATGGCCAATCACAGAGACACCTCGCATGTCTCCAAAAGCAGAATGTGTCCCTTTTTATTAGTTGAGTTTAGTCAGGAGGCACTGAAATATCCTCAGAATATATTATGATTATTTTGTTGTCATCTTTCATTCAGAATTCTCTGCTCATATTCTGCCTATTTTATTGTTTCCTTTCTCCAGAACAAGTGGCTGCGATCTCTTAACCAGGCGGTGGATCAGGTGTTGGGCGGTGGAGGTCAGGGGTCGTCGCCGGGGATGACGGCAATGTCTCGCAAGGCCTCCTACACGTTCTCCGGAGAGGGACGGTTTAAAGACGCCCAGTACACTGGGGGCTGGCTGGCAGGACGGGTTCATGGCAGGTTAGCGAGCATTTCATCTCCGTCTCTGCAGCTACAGTGTGTACTGAATAATGTTGGCAGTGTGTTCATTGTTTTTTGCAGCCCACTATAAACTCTTGGATACTGGAGTGTCCTTGAATGCACCATGAGGAAGAATATTGAAAATGTTCCCAGCTAATACCTGTAGTACTTGTAGTAAATCAGTAGAGACCTGACCAGTACCCAAATAAATGAATGACCAATCAAAACATGTGCAGGGAGTGAGTGAAGCCAGAGTGAACTGTGAACAGACAATTTCCAGTATTGTTGAATCCAGAATGAAGGCTGAAATTGATTCTACCTGGTAGTAGCTAATTAAATGGCCACCGAGTGTTAACACTGGCTCTGTGCAAATAGTTGGATAGTAAAATATATTTGCCTTAACAGAGGTACCATGAAGTGGCCAGATGGACGTACCTACAGCGGGAACTTTAAGAATGGACTGGAGGATGGGTGAGTACATCAACCTTGTTTAGTATTAAAGAGCTGGTTAATGTGTAATGTTGTTCATTTCCAAAATGACGCAGAGAGACCCTGTGAGCAGAAGTATTTAACATATTTAAGCACAGGCTTTCGTTTTAAAGTTTTAAACATCCACTATGCCTGAAACTGTGAAACAGGCTGGTGATTTTTGATATTTACTGTGTGATCAGGGGGGCGAAAGGAGTGTTACTACCAAAGTTCCTGGCTCAGAGGCGGATCAAATTGGACCCCAGTCTCCGGCTCATACAGCGCAGCGAGCCTGCGCAACACCGGCATATTGGCACAATACTCCCGGGAGATAACGCAGTGTAGTTAGGAGCTACGAAAGTTGTGCATGGAGTGTTCAAGCATTTAGCTAGCTAGCTACCACCGTAATGTAGCAACATTTACAAGATGTAGTAACCAAAAAAAACACAGACAAAAAGGAGGCTGAAGCAAAACATAAAAATAGAAAGTTGGCTGTCCAGTTTAGTATCTGATCCACTGTCAGATCTTCTTATGCTTCAGTTGTCAAGGACTGTTCAAGGCGTACGGTTCATAGACTGTATAAAAATGTTGAACCTACAAAACCTGTGATGCTGTGGCAGGAGGACTCTGTAGGAACCAGGAGGCCAGACTTCCTGGACCGTGCACATAGGGTGATTGTAGAAAGTGAGCAGTCTGATGAGGAGGTTTAAGCTGAATGATTAATAAGCATCTTGTAAGTTAAAACAACTTACTGTTATGACTTAAACACATTTAATATGTTTAACATTTAATATATGTTTGGCCATCTACCATTCCCGTTGTCAGGTGAGCCAAAAAGTAAATGTCCACCCCTGTGTGTAATTAAGTAGCATCAATTGAACTGTTGTCTCATTTCGGTAAATTGTGATTTTTTTTTCTTTCCAGCTATGGAGAGTGTTTAATACCTAACAAAGTGCTGAATAAGCCTGACAGCTACCAAGGACACTGGAGAGATGGCAAGATCCATGGTTTCGGCAAGTACAAGTCAGTAAACAGTTTTCTATTGATTTTTTTAGTAAGGCAGAACGCCCTTCTTATTTCTCAGTATGTTCCTCCTTTTATGACCTCAGATGAGCATAACAGTGTTTGTGACAACTTATATATTTACTTTTAATTCATTTCAAAACATGGACATAAAGTGACAAGAATGTAAGGATGTCATACTTTTTTTTATTTAACACACACAAACACACAGACATAAATCATTCACACGTCACCCAAACAAATTACTTTCTTAGATTTAGAGATCCACCCACATGGACATTTCTCTCCACCTCTACGGGTCCATGTAGGCTATATTATCTTTTAAATCATGTCGAGCAGCGCAAGCTTCCCAGGTGATTTCTTTATGGTGTGTTTTACTGTAGTATGAGTGTTTTAATAATTTAGCCTATTTCACCCACCGCAATCCATCTGCTTTTAATCACAGTGCCCATCTTTGCATCACCAGCCTACAGTTAACTGATATCAAGGTGAAATGTCATTAAGGAGTGCGGTTAGAACAGTGAGGCGCTGCACAAACTGTGAAGGGCAGAAGTTTGATCATGCATTTGATCATCTCACGCCATTGGTTGTATATTCCAGCTGTGTGTCAGGCCTCTTTTATATGTTACGGTGCCAGAAAGACTTCTGTAAAGGAAGTGTTAGTATATTAACGCTAACTATCAACGCCATTAACAGTTCATTGACAGAGGAAATGTATAGAAAACGTTATAGCTCATAACATGAAGTAACACGGCTTTTAACATTAGCTAGCTAGATAACTAGTTTAACGAGACGTCCCTTCATCATCCAGAGAGCCGACGTTACGTACCTCCTCTTCAGATGCTCCAGCATAACTGACGTGCTCCCAGGCCAGAAGAGGTGGCTTTGCAAATGCTGCAGTTCACAACCTTTTTGGCTTAGTGAAGAGTGAAATGCTCCCATACTCTGGAGGTTTTAGGTTGTGAAGGTGTTAATACCACTGCTGTTGTTGTGTTGTTTTATTAACTTTACTGTTCACATCACTTACTGACAAAATAGAGAAATGAGCTTTCAGTCGTCTTGTCTGGATCAGCAACAACCTGAAACACAAGTGACCTTAATTGGGACTACATCACCTCTTAACAGCATTTTGTGGCCTGTGTGGGCATTGAACCCACGGCCCTGGGAGTCTCAGTGGGCCTCTATATATATATGTGTGTGTGTGTGTGTGTGTGTGTGTGTTCATGACTGTCTGTGGGCTCTGCCTAGGTATGCCAGTGGCGAAGTGTACGAGGGCTGTTTCTGTGATGGACAGCGACACGGTTATGGCATGCTGAGCTCCGGTAAGCTGACCAAGACCTCCTCCAGCGTTTTTCTTGGCCAGTGGGTCCATGACAGGAAGACAGGATACGGAGTCTACGATGACATCACCAGGTGGGATTAATGATTTGACTCAAACCCTAAAAAGCTTCATATTTATGTAACATGTATAAGTAGGAAATCCAGATTTACTAGTTTTAGGATACACTCCCTCCCTAGGAAGTTTGCTTTAATATTTTTATTTTAGCCTGAAACCCCTGGATACTGAATTGTATCCTTGTTTTTCCTGTAATACTAAGGTCAATAACTATCAGCTGAATGTTGTTATGGTCTCCAGTAAAATTGGGAATCTTGTCAGCTCCTAAAGCAAAAAGAAATGACTAGACAATTTGAGGAGACCATCTACGCTTTCTTAATATAACCGGAAAATGTATTTGTTGGCAGGTTGTTAATTTGCATAGTTTGTTTTTATTATCAGTTGCAGTTTTAGTTGTCAGTTGAACTTACTTATTATTTCTGCAAGCAAGCACATTCCCAAATAGTAAATAATTATCTTGACTGAATTTAAATGTCATTCATGAAGACAAACAACTGTCATTAGCCACTGCTGTCATGTTTTCTATTCTCTTCTCCCAGAGGTGAGAAGTACATGGGACAGTGGTTGGACGAGCAGCGGCATGGCAGCGCTGTGGTTGTCACCCAGTACGGTGTGTACTATGAAGGGACCTACAGAGACAACAAGATGAGTGTAAGTTCACCCAGGAGTATGGATTTTCTGACATTTACATGAGATTTAACTGCACAACTGTCTGGCGAAAGACAGGCGATTAAACCTGATTACCCAGTAGGTTTGGGGCCAGTAAATTCTGCTTCATCTAGCTGAATCTGTCATTCTCATGTTATGTTTCTTAGCACTGATTTTTTTTATTTTAGATACAAACCTATTAAATATGTTACAGGATTGAATTGGATTATAGTAACTTGTATGGGGATTCTCAGATGTGTAGTACCTCTTAAAGACAGGAGGTGGTGCCACTGAGCTTTGATTTTTTTAACATCAACTGTAAGTAACAAATGACTTCAGGCAATGATACTCAGCAAAAAAAGAAGCATCCTCTCACTTACAGCTGCTTTTGTTTTCAGCCAACTTTACATGTGTTGATATTTGTATGAACATAAAACGATTTAACAACTAAGACATAAACTGAACAAACTTTCACAGACATGTGAGTAACAGATATGGAAAAAGTATAGACATTGCAATGTATGTATGCTCTGGCAACATCAGCAGTCCTCATGCCTCCTTGCAGCATGGCTAAAGCACGTTCACGCAGATGGGCATCTTTCTTTTGGTGTTCTTCAGAGTCAGTAGAAAGGTCTCTTTAGTGTTCTGGGGTTTTACAACTGTGACCTTAATTGCTTACCGTCTGTACGCTGTTAGTGTCTCAGTGACCATTCCACAGGTGCATTTTCATTGATTGTTTATGGTTCATTGAACAAACATGACATTTACAATAAAGATCTGTAAAGTTATTTGGATTTTTACAGAATTATCTTTAAAATACAGTGTCCTGAAAAAGGGACATTTCTCTTTTTGCTGTGTTTATATACTGAAAATCAGAATCACCTTTACTGCCAAGTAGGTTTGCACATACCAGGAATTTGCTTTAGTGACTTTGTGCTTAACAATAAACATAAAATATATAAATATTAAATTGACACATTAATACAAAAAATAAAATTAACTATAGTCAACTTAAGTGAATAAAATAATATGTATGTGTAATTGTTTATTTACAGTGATTACTTCAATGTGTGGCCATTAAATCAAACTGAAACAAAGGGTAAGGAAGTTTATGAAAATATGCTTTTATTTTGACATTTTTAAAATAAACTATGGATCTAAAAAAAAGCAAATTATAGGTATGTATTTTAATTTATTTAGGTATGTAAATATACATTAGAGAAAACATTCATTATTTATTAATTAAAGTTAATACACCCTGAAACCTCAAATGATACATTAGTTTAGTCACAGCGGCATGAATAGCTGGAAGAAATATTTTAGGCTTTTTTAGTTGAGTCAAAAGCAGAATTTGCAAGTGTGCCAATATTACTGTTGTAAAAATGTCAGTCATTCTAACTATTTGTCCTCAGCATCCACCACTTCAAATAACACAATCAAAACCTTTATAATTATAGTATGAAGAAGATGTGAAAGTCCTTATTATCACATGTTTTGTGTCAACTAATCTGCCCTTGGTGCAGATGTCAGGCATTCCTCTACCACTGTGTCCCATATTTAATGTCAGACCTCTCCTACAGCAGAAGCCACAGTGGAAATCCTGACTCGATAGCTGTGGCCATTTGTAGGGAATGAATCCTAATCATTGTACCTCCTTAATATGACTTTGTAAAGTTTAATGCAAGGTGTGTGTTTTCTGTCAGGGTCCCGGTCTGTTGGTGGCAGACGACGACACGGCTTTCCATGGGGAGTTTTCTGATGACTGGATTGCCAACGGGAAGGTACAAAGCATCTCTGTCCCCGTTTATCTGTGTATCAAGTCTAACTTGTGTTCAGTCACTAAAAAAAAACAACTTGTACAACTGCACAAAATTGAATATGATTTCATACACCTTCTGCACTCCCTCTCTCTTCTTCTTCAGGGCGTTTTATCCCTGGCTAACGGTGACTGCTTGGAGGGCCTGTTCAGTGGAGAGTGGACCACAGGGCTGAAGGTGGTTGGAACGTACACCAAACCAGCCATCGATGACCCAGAAAACAAAGAGAAGAACCTCCTGCTGTGAGAAGAAGGACTTTGTACTTTTTAAAACCTGGATATTCTGTGATAATCTTTGTGTATGAATGTTCAAGTTTGTGCTTAGCTAATGTGCAGATTATTGTTCAAGTCTAATACAGAGTTTGTTTCATCTAGTGCTCATGTTCTGTTTTAATAAATATCTCAAATGTGCGCATGTGCAGCAGGTTGGGTCAGTACGTGGTGCCCGCAGGTCAGAGGTGGGCCTGTGTGTTCGATGAATGCTGGAGTCGTCTGGGCTGTGATGCTGCTGGGAGAGGAGAGAGGACAACAGCCTGGGAGAATATCGCTGTTACTATAACAAGCGCACGTCGACAAAGGTAGATACAGCTGCACACACAGAGGCAAATGTAAATGCTATTATGCTTGTCTTACATTTGCAGCTGCATATCAAAATAAGTGAGTGTATGTTTTGTGCGTGTTTGTAGCCCAGACCTGAGTAGGTCTCAGAGGAAAGTGTTGGAGTGTTTGGAGTTTATTCCTCAGCATGGTGAACCAGTCACCACCGCAAACTATGACAACATACGAAGATACCTCATCAAGGTACGAGTGGCTGTGAGGGAGACTCTGTTTGTGTGTGAAACTCTCTCTTTCTGTGTGTCTTTATAATAATATGTGCACATAGACCAAATATTAGATACAGTAGCTCTCAGTGTGACGTTATACACTTCAGCAGCACCACAAACTACATCCTACATCAAGATGAATAAACCCCTTTCTAAAACAGTCACAACAAAAACCTGGACATTATAACCTTCATGTCGAGAGCATTTATTGCAAGACTGTTGTAACTGACTGCATTCGTTTTAGCTAGGTGTACTGCTGGCAGCTAAGTGTACATATAAGTGGAGAATCTATCAGGCTTCGCTTAGTGACAATAGGGGAAGAGGGACCCTCTGTACTTTTTGCTGAAGTACCCGATGTTAGAAGTGTTAAGAAGTGTGGATTCTGCCTTTAGTCTTGAATTGAATCATGGAAAGCACTATCTTCTCCTTTATCAGTAGTGTGTGTGTATGTGTGTTTGTTTGTATGGCAGGCATGTGAGACCCCTCTCCACCCTCTGGGCTGGCTGGTGGAGACGTTGGTGACCGTCTACAGGATGACTTACGTCGGTGTGGGTTCCAACCGCAGGCTGCTCAGGCAGGCCGTCCAGGAGGTTCAGGCCTACCTCACACATTTCTACAGCATTCTCCGGTAGATTCGAGTTCAAAGTTACCTCTTTTGTTTACCTCATCGGTCAGTGCCCACAGCTTTTTGTAGACGTGCATCCAGTGTACGTTGTGTGGTATTTTCAGCCCTGGTGTTTCCTCCATTCTGTTCATAAGACTGGAGAAACTCACCTGGGCTCAGGTGCCACAGAGAGCTTCTCATGTATGGTGTCTGCTAAGGAACGCTAGCGGGAGTGAAACACCAGTGCATTTGTAGCTGTTTGCTGCTAGTGTGGTTGAAGCAGAGTCAAACAGCTTTGTGAAAACTCAAACTGACACGTGTCCGCAAAGTTAAACACATAATTGGAGGTTAACTACTAGAGAGAGCATTGCAGATTTTACTTTTAGCGCTGTTTTCGTCATACGTGTGTAGATAGATGCAGTTACAAAACAAGGAAGAGCCTGAGTTTCTGCCACTAAGTAACATAAATTGGTCCCTGCAGGTTTCTGTTTCCGGGGCTACCAGATGATGGCGGCATCATCCCAGACCCCCTTCCCTCTCCAACTAAGAGCAGAAACAACTCTAATATAGAAGAGCAAGAGTGAGTATCAACACAAAAATAGAGCTTTTTATTTGTCAGCTTGTTCGTCTCAGTGCTGTTAAAACAAATCTCCTCCTTGTTCTACAGCAGCGTTCTGGTGGTGAGCTGCTCCTCTCTGCTCCTCCCTGTGCTGCTTCCTCGACTCTACCCTCCTCTCTTTACCTTGTACTGCCTGCAGGAGGAGCAGGCGGAGGCCCAGTACTGGGAGCGCATCCTCCGACTCAACAAACAGCCCGACCAGTCACTGCTCAGCTTCCTTGGGGTGCAGGAGTGAGTGTGTAGATTCAACAAACACACACACACACACACACATATTTTGTGCTTGTCTCTAAATGGCATAACGTTTGACAGTGTAGTTCTGGTTGTTAACCAGTATTTTAAATACCTTTTAAATAACCTCCTAATGCAGAGAGCTGTATGCTTACAAAGAGAGTGTGTCACAAATAACCTGTCCAGTTATGCTTTCTGTTGTCTATTATTTTTTAAATTCTCTTATAGGAAGTTCTGGCCAGTGTGGATGTCAATACTGGGAGAAAAAAAGCAGGTCAGATACTGAGGCTACGTTCACACTGCTGGCCTTAATGCTCAGTTCCGATTTAGTGCCCAGGTCCGATTTTTTTGATTGACTGTTCACATTATTTTTTAAATGTGGCCTATATCAGACAGTGAACAGGCCACGGCCTGAAATTTACCCGCATGTGCAAAAGAATAATACGACGTCACACGCAGCACGCTGTCGTACGAAAGTAAACACGGAGGCCACAGAGGTTAGCGCAACCCTCCTGATTTTCATTGCCCTCTCCCTTGTTTCCTCCCGGGGTAACAATTATCCTGATTTATGACAAAGGTTCACAACTTTGTGTCTTTTCTTTTGCATTAATTACAGTTTCTGGCACTGTACAGCGCTACAACTCTTTCTAGCGTTTCTAGTGGCATCTACATATTGCATGCAGAATTTTGACTGTCCACACTGATTTCACGCATTTCAAACAATCCAACCTGTATCTGATTTGGACCACATATAAAGTGGCTCTAATCTGAGCTGGAAAAAAACAGAGTGGGTCATTTTGGCCGGCAGCCTGAACGCAGCCTTTGTGTACTTTTTTCTCCTCATGTATCTTTTTCTAAATGTCTGCCTCCCTCAGACACATGACACATAAGGTTACATTGTGCTGTTGCATTTATTGTGTTGTTTCTTTTATCACAGATTGTGTCTAGCAGTAAAGATGCCTGCTTCGTTTCCGCTGTAGAGACACTTCAACAAATCAGGTAGCTGCTATGTGACGCCCTGTTTACCGGCTACTCACTGACCCAACCTAAGAGTGTCACTCCATAGCTAAAACGAAGCGTTCAACAGAGGGTGAAAGAGGAGCTGCAGCAGTGTACAGTATGAAAAAAATATGCTACCATGTAAACCTGTTCTGGTACAACCCCTAAATAAGATTGTGAACCTGAAAATGAGCATAATACCACCTCTTTAAATCATAGCGTAAACTAACTCCCATCTCTGACACGAGACAAAAAAAGACTCAGGGCCGTGAAAACAAAAAGATCCTGTTTCCTCAACAGCTTTTACTGTAAAACCATCCAATTTCTAAATGGCTCCCCAATTCTGCACCAGTGCTTAAGAAAGCAAAGCTCTAACTGCTACTTTCTTTTAAGCACAGACATTTAACTTATTCTTATTTTAATATTTTACATCAGTGGATGTGTTTTATGCGGTGGGGGCTATGTGTCTTCTTACAAAGTGTCTTGACTGTTATGCTGTGATTGTTGTTGTTCTGTCATGAGCACACTGAAGGCAGATTCTTAACAGCTAAGTTGTATGGCAATATAAAGTATTGAATCTTGACGCCACAAGTCGTGATAGAACACAACACAAATCTTTATTTGTATAACAGTGCAACACAGGACGTTAGAAAAATTGAAAGAGCATTATAACATGTATAAATAAAACTGTTGTCTCCCTACACATGCAGCACCACCTTCACGCCGTCAGACAAACTCCTCGTCATCCAGAACACGTTTGAGGAATTGACCCAGGAAGTAAAACCTATGCTGGATGACAACTTCCTCTGGTGTATGGATGACCTGCTCCCTCTCTTCCTCTATGTGGTGCTCAGGGCGAGGCATGTGAACACACACACACAAACATCACTTTGTTTATTTATTGTCTAATGTCAGTCTGTTATTCTGGATACAGCTAATGTAGCTAATTTGCACCTAAATTCTGTCATTCAACTTACATCTTGATTGCTGATCTGTTTGGTGAGCGTAAATGACACACATTGAAGAAGAGGCTTCGGTCTTATCTCAATGTATCATGCGGTTCTAACATGACTGAACATGTTTTTGCTGCTCTGCTCTCCAGGATCAGGAACCTGGGAGCTGAGGTCAGTCTGATAGAAGATTTGATGGATCCCAACGTTCAGCACGGAGAGTTGGGACTGATGTTCACCACTCTGAAGGTGGGGCCCCCCCTACACACACACACATGGATAATGGTTTTATTCATTTCCTGAACGTAGCTGCAGTTGGAATGAAATTTAGGGGACACCTAGGCAGTCCTTCCATATCTAATGACATTCTGCCAATAGCGGCATGATGATCATCATCGGTCAAACACACTTTATACAATTCATCTTCCAGATTTAAATTACTAAAATAACACATTTAGATGATTACAGCCTTTAAAGATGTTGGTGCTTTTTAGTTTATGTAATACATTTATCAGTGGTCCTTAATCACTTACACATCAGTTAAATGATTCTGCTGCAGGCCTGCTACATCCAGATCCAGCAGGAGTCGACTATGTAGGAGCAGGACAGGAAGACGCCACACAGTCGGCAAAAAGTGGAAACAGCAAGGAAAGCACTGCCGGGGGCGGCACGGTGCTTCACACACAGGAACTGCCAGAACAAAACCAGTCAAAACCACTGGGAAGCTGTTTTCTTTCTAGAACCGAAAAGATCTTCTTGCACTTGTAGCATGTTTTTACCACTCGTAGCATTGTGCAGTGTACGGCGAGCTCTGCGTTTCACTGGTCCCAAAGCAACTGCAGGAGGGTAACACAGGTGGACTTAGCACAGCAGATCCAATCTGGGCCTCCTGATCAAAGATCAGACCTTTGGTTCATCGGTAAGCAGCTGCAGCAGCTGGGGAGCAGACTGGATGGAGGGTTTTGCTTTTTTTAGCAAAATAAAACTTCACACAGTTGTAGAGTTTTACGGTCAGCGTGAAAACAGAGTAAACAGCTTAAGGCACTTTATGCCTCAGCTGAGGTTTGAGATTGCTTCCCCAGAAGCCAAACCAAACTCACCAACTCAGAAAACTGATAAAAAGGGAACAAAAGCTTAATTTCTCATGAAACAGTATGTTCATGCAAACATAAATTATATGCAAAGCATCTTACTTTGTTTACATATAAATAAAAAATCATCCCCTCTCACTCTTCCAAACTAATTTAGACCTTTTTACACCTTTCAGTTATTATGAATAATGTACACTTTTCTGTACTACAAACCAAACCTGTGCATGCTCCTGCATGTTGAAATAACTGTTTGTCTCAGGTCCACACTTCTGGTACTATAACTAACATAAACTGACCAGTAGGACAGTAGCATGTAACTACAGAGGGAAAGGATATTGTACTTTACCTGAAATAAGTCATGAGCGCACACTGATAACCTAAGCGTCAAGGAAATGTTTATTCCTCTGTTGATATTTCATTCAGTTTGTTATTCTGTGTGTTTCTGTGTGAGCGAGCATTTATGAACAAGTCTGACAAGGAGCACTTGTAACGTTGCACTGACAACTTTCTAGTTTGGTTTCACCGACCAGCCAGGAGAGTGTTTGAAGAGAGATTATATTATATATATAAAAATAGTTGAAGGTTGGCTGAAAAAGTGATGAATACTTTGTGTGAAGTCAATCATTTTTAAAGAATTAAGTCACATTGTGACACATTTTAAGAAGGTCATATTATGCTTTTTGGGTATTTTCCTCTCCTTTATTGTGTTATGTGTATTTTTTGTGCCAGTGATAAGTTTGCAAAGTGAAAAAGCCCAAAGTCCACCCCAAAGGGAGTTTGTAGTCCAGTCTTCTGTAAATTATCTGCGTAACAATGTAGCACACGCCTTAATGCTCGCCTAGAGGCTAGTGTGGTACGACCATTGGCTATATATAAAAGAAATGGACGAAGTCATCGTGACGTCACCCGTTGGTTTGTGGACTGTCGTTTTGAAGCCTCGAGTCTGGCCTATAGGACGCCGCCATGGTGATTTTTTGCAACCAGAAGTGCCTTGACGTGACCATATTTGGACAAGACGGAGGGGCCGTGTGCGGAGCTAGCTAGCTTGCTTAGCTAGGTGCATCTGTAATTCACGTTAACTGTCATTTTAACAGGGCTGACAATTTAGTCTAGCAAACAAAAGTCTTAAAACTAAATGTACTCACCAGAGAAATTGAACAGACAACTCCTAATCAGCTTTTTCAACCACTGGTTAGATTGGGTATGAGTCACTCTAGCCTGATTGACAAATTGCCATGGTAACAACTTGAATCACAGATAATCCCACCCTGAAGCATACTCTATTTTACTCAATTAATTAATTTAATTATTCAACTGAGAAGTAGGGTCATTTTACCATTATTGCTAATGGAGCCGGACTTTTTTTGCAACCAGAAGAGTCGCCCCCTGCTGGCCGTTCAATAGAGTGGCGGTTTCTGGGACTTCCGCATTGGCTTCACCCGCTTGGGTACGACCTTCAGGCAGTCAATGGACATAAAGTTGTTACTGTTATGTAGAGATAGTGCACAATTAAGCGTTACATATGAAAGGTAAATTTTTTACAAATTAATTACTTACCACTCTTAAACGTGTGAAGCTGGTTTGTGTAGTTCTACCTGTGTGTCGAGATCACAATTGGGCTAGAACATGTACGGCTGAACCGAAGACAGAGTTACTGGCTGAAGTGGCTTTGTTTTGGATCAGACTACCTTGCTTGTCAGGACCCACCCTACCCTGCTTCTGATTGGCTAGTAGTCCTTACCTAGGTATGTAGGTAGGATGGTGGGTAGGTAAGATTGAATAGGAGTGAGATGCTTCACTCGGCAGCTAAAACTGAACATAGAAATATGGTGTTTTTTGAAAATGAAACCATTTAAACCTGTTCTTGTACAACCCCTAAATAAGATTTTGAACCTAAAAATTAGCAAAATATGACCTCTTTAAACTCTTTCACTGCTTTCTTGTGACCTACTGCACTTACTTAATTGACAAAAAATATGCCATGCGAATCAAGTATCAATGTGTGTGTTAAATGCAGATCCAGATTTTAAAACAATATTATCATATTATATGAGTTTATCTGGATCCTTTGAATCCATGTGTACGTGTTGTAAATGTATTTTCATATCCAGATCTTTAAGGGACATCAAAGTATTCATTTTCAAAGGTAAATGACATTTTTAAATGAATTGTATTACTTCATAAAATTAATATTATAATTTAATTTAAATTATTTATTGGAGACAAATAAAAAATTTTAATCAATGTTTTGTCTTAGATCTGAAAATCTCCTACAACTCTGAAATCCTGCCAGCAGTGATTGTTAGATAATTCACAGTAATTATGGAAGCACTGATTATAAAAATCCACTACGGTGTATTTAAGATATAGAACCAGTGTTACATCGTACATTAAGACACGATAGTTTTTTAGGAGCAGATGTGTTCAGAGTACAGCATGTGCTGCTGTTGTTTTACTGACATGAGATTGATTTTATGTGAGGAATAAAACTAAAAGCTCAGATTGAACTGCACAATGCAGCAAAACGCAGCTGTTGGGTTGAAAATGTCGTTATTTCTCTACCATTTCAGCGTTAGTGAAATGTGTTTGTACTGTATTGTCACTTGTGTCTTTGCAGAACGTATACCCTCAAAACCTGTATGTGTTGGGACAGTCAATTCAATGTTCTTCTTGATTTTTGTTGTTAAAACCACTGCAGTGTAATACAGATGTAACATCTAAGGATGAGGATGAGGCAAAATCATTCAGCTGACCTCTGACACCAGGTTAAAGGACTTTACAGATGTGCATGTAAATCACCTGTAGTTTTCTATACTGCCAGCCATTTTTCATCACATACTGCTTTCTGTTTGATTTATTTCCTACCTTTTAGGTTGGCACTGGTGTGAGATCATTTCAGAACAGCATTAAATCAGTGAGATCTAGTCTCTTTATTTTCTGATTACTGACATATTGTCAAATATCCGTTTTAAAAACTCCTTTGTGTTATGTTATTGTACTGAAATAAACTAAAACCAGTGACTCAAAGAAACATAGTGGATAAAATAAAATGGAAGTGACATGAAGTGCATATGCTTTCTACTTCATTGGCTAAAACACGCCAGGATCTTTGTAATACCTAAATTTCTTAGGGGTTTTGAGGATATAACCTGACTGAATTTATCACTTTAGTCTATATTTTTATAACTTCATACATTTATAGAAAGAGGTGGTCAGTGGAAATGATTGTAGAGTGCTAATTAGTTTTGATTGATAACTGCAATGTGATAGGAAAAATGATCAAAAAAGGGCAATAAATGTGGTTTAATTCTTCAACTGTCTCCTGATGAATATTATTTATTTTCTACCGTCACTCATTTTATTATTTACTCCTGTGCTTTCTCTTCTGTGACATGTCTTCAGTGAAAAAGCCTGTAATTCAAGTGGAATTACATTTATTTTTGCTAATAAACACACAGCATGTCCTTGTTGTTTGGTTTGAATGGGTCATTACAACAAGGAACCTTTGTAGATGTGAATATTGGGTGATTTGTGGGCTACAATTTGATTGGTTTACAAGATCTCAAGTCAGAGGAGTTCTTTAGTGGAAATGGGATCTCTGACAGAAAGAGTGGTTTAAATATGACCTGATGATTTGGGGGCGGTAGTGATGAGGTGGCAGATTGGCTTCAGTCCGCGGCTGCTGGTGGAACTAAGACGCTACTTTGTCATATCATTATAAAGTGCCTTTGAGAATTCATAAGATTCAGTGATTTTCCATTTAAGGTCACATATATTTTATTAAATACATCTCAAGCTTTGTCTAAGGGGAGTCTCAGACTTTGAAGAATGTGGGGAAACTAACCCCATGTCCTCCATGTAATGTCCAGCCTGTCATAGAAGGATTGATGATAGATCTTCACTAAAGTTAGCATTTAATAAGCACAACAACAAAAAGTTTCTCAATTTATTAATATTTCTCTATGACAGGGTCACAATTATGAGTCTAGATCGTGCACATTGTCACTAGACTGCTGGGGGGCAAGCAGTGAAACGCTATTGACTGACTAACCAACTGCAAACTTTGGATGACAGTGATATGGTTTGCAAAATATACTGTTATCACATAAGAGGGGATGTAGCTCAGTGGTAGAGCGTGTGCTTGCATGTACAAGGTCCTGGGTTCAATCCCCAGCATCTCCAAAATGTCTGTCTTTAATAGTAACACCAGGCGTAAGAAAGAGCTGTGAGACAGTATGCTTACATTTAGGATTTTAAAAGTATCTAATTCAACAATTTGACTGGCTAAACAACAGCAATAATACAACTAATGGTTTGTTCAAGACCAGACTAACAGCAAAATGCATTATAGTGACTTGGGTTGCAAAACATATTGACATCACGCAAGTTTTCAATTTGGCAACAGTTTGCCGCTGAGATTATTTTCCAACAGATGATGAGATTTCACTCTGTGTTAGTCCATATCTGCAAAGGTACAAGAGGGGATGTAGCTCAGTGGTAGAGCGTGTGCTTCGCATGTACAAGGTCCTGGGTTCAATCCCCAGCATCTCCAACATGGTGTCATTTTAATAATAACGTTGGGCTTAATAAAGAGCTCTTTGACTGGCTAACTGACGGCAATACAACTAATGATCTGCTGAAGACCAGACTATAAGCAAAATATGTTGGATCACACAAGTTTTCAATTTAGCAAAAGTCTGGCACTGAGATTATTTTCCAATTTATGTGCAGATGTCACTCTGTCTTAGTCCATATGTATGGCAGCGCAGCATAAAAGGGGATGTAGCTCAGTGGTAGAGCGTGTGCTTCGCATGTGCAAGGTCCTGGGTTCAATCCCCAGCATCTCCAACGCAGTCATTAAACCTGGTATATGTGCTGTTCAATGTTACTTTAATGGACTAAAAAAAGGAGTTACTGAGCCGTAATTGTTGACACATGTCACTAGAACAAGAGTGGGTAGCATCAGCCACTTTTCAATCTCTGCACTGTAAAATCTTTTTGTCTAGTCATCATATATATTTTTTGCAGTCTAGTGACAATGTGCACAATCTAGACTCATAATTGTGAAATAAACGCCAACACAAATTTGATGGCAGTTCTCATCATTCGTCAATCGTCTGTGAAAGCAACAGTAAAAGGGGATGTAGCTCAGTGGTAGAGCGTGTGCTTCGCATGTACAAGGCCCTGGGATCAACCCCCAGCATCTCCAATTGTCAATGTTTCCTTTTCTGGTGTTTTTAGCTGTCAGACATACCACTCACAACTGACATGACATTAGCACAGGAGAGGCAGACCAGACCAGTCTCACCAGAGACACCGGAGTGATTAGTTGTTTTTAATTTGCAGACGTCATCAGTATATCTCTATAGGCTGTAAATGAAAATAAAAGCAGCATACCAAAAACCAGCAGGGACACACGTTTTACACACGCGTCACTCATTTTAGAGATGTTGTAAGAGACAATGCATTCTCAGAACAACGCAGAGAGTGGGGATGTAGCTCAGTGGTAGAGCGTGTGCTTCGCATGTACAAGGCCCTGGGTTCAATCCCCAGCATCTCCAACACCTGTTGCTGCTCTTTAAGTATATACACAGCTGACAGACAGTAATTTAACAACTAAAATGCTGATAAAAGAGTACATGCAGATATGAATGAAGACGTGTGTCACATCTCAGTAATCAACCAATTTCTGCCTATTGTTGTTATTTACATCTGTATACCCTGATTTATATCACAGGTACATCAAAAAAAATGGTAGTTGTTAAGTGAACTCAGCATTCCAGGGTCTGTGGATCTGACGGGCAAGTACATTTGTGTGTCATCAGCATAAATATGATGACAGGTAGGATGAAAACCATTCTAGGGCCGTACCAGAGATCCCCACTCAGTGCCTCAGTCTGTCTAACATGATTTTGTGATCAATGGTATCACAAGCAGCGCTAAGGTCCAGGAGTACCAGGACTGAGCACATACCTTCATCAGCAGACATTAAAAGGTCATTGGTGACTTTAAGCAGGGCAGTCTCAGTGCTGTGGTACTTCCTAAAACCAGACTGAAACTTTTCAAATATTTTGTTATTTTCCAGCACAGTGAGCAGCTGTTTGGACACAATTCTTTCTAGAATCTTTGCAATAAAAAGCAGTTTTGAAATTGGTCTAAAATTATGTGGGAGGGAGGGATCTAAACCAGGTTTCTTTAAAAGTGGGTTCACGCAAGCTGTTTTAAAATAATCAGGGACACCACCAGTAGATAGGGAGCTGTTGAAAACAGAGATCAAATGGGGCCCAACAGAATCTATTACTTTCAGGCTCTGATTGACACCACTGTATTGGTAAAATAAGATAAAAACAATTCACAGTCATGATTACTTCCAGCTGAGGCACAAGGAGGGGTTGGGTTTACCAGCTGATCCACAGTCTTCAACAGAAACCTGGGATTGTGTTTATGTGTAGTAATGAGTTCAGAAAAATAGTGTGTTCCCGCATCCTTAACCATGTTATTGTAGTTAATTAATAAATCCTTCAGACTGAGGTAATGGACTTGGAGACCGGATTTTTTCCATTTGCGCTCTGCTTTCCTGCATTCCCTTTTTAGGCTGCGAATGCTGTCATTCTTTGCCAGAAAATATTAAAAATATCCACATAACACACACGGTGAGCACTGCAGGCGGCCTGGAGCCAGTCGTGGAGGCCAAGGAGTCTACTGAAGCGGCCAGCACCGCGACCAACTGTGGGAACTCTCAGTGGTAGAGCGTGTGCTTCGCATGTGTAAGGTCCTGGGTTCAATCCCCAGCATCTCCAACATGGTGTCACTTTAATAATAATATTGGGCATAATAAAGAGCTCTTTGACTGGCTAACTGACGGCAATACAACTAATGATCTGCTGAAGACCAGACTACAAGCAAAATATGTTGAATCACACAAGTTTTCAATTTAGCAACAGTCTGGCACTGAGATTATTTTCCAATTTATGTGCAGATGTCACTCTGTCTTAGTCCATATGTATGGAAGCACAGCGTAAAAGGGGATGTAGCTTAGTGGTAGAGCGTGTGCTTCGCATGTGCAAGGTCCTGGGTTCAATCCCCAGCATCTCCAACGCAATCTTATTTGAAGCGTATTGACATTAATCTACATGGAGGGTTTTAAGGGTGAACTTCATCCATCAAAAGTCAGAGGGTGCCCTCCACCCTGCAATTGAACCTGAATCCATGACTTTTACCTAATTCAAGATGGCAGCACCAGGTGCAGATCTTGATGCAGATCTATGAAATCTTGAGTGCTAAAATGTTAGATAGGTTGCCAATGTTTTTTAGATCAGATTGAGGACTTCACTGAATGATTTAGAATTTGACTTTTGATGGATTTATTTGTTTTGCTGCGGCAACTTACACTATGGATTAAAGCATATATATAAATAAATAAATACAATCATATACAGAAATTTAAATGTGTGAATACATGGATAAGTAAATTAATGAATAATTATACAAATTAATAAATAAGGACAAAAATGTGTGAATTTATAAACATATATATACAGTAATTGAATAAATACATAAATAAATGTAACATTTAAGTTGTGATTTATTCATTTGATTATTAAGTATAACATTACATAATAATTATTTAAGCACTAAATTCTATAATGATTTATGTTTTTATATATTTAGTTTCAGCCCTTAAAAACCTCAATAATTACACAGCTAGACAAAAAATATATATGATGACTAGACAAAAAGATCTGACAGTGCATTGTCTTTTTCTAGTGGCATGTATCAACTATTATGGCTCAGTAACTCCTTTTTTAGTCCATTAAAGAAACATTGAACAGCACATACCAGGATTAATGACTGCGTTGGAGATGCTGGGGATTGAACCCAGGACCTTGTACATGCGAAGCACACGCTCTACCACTGAGCTACATCCCCTCCTGTGCTTTTGCAGATATGGACTAACACAGAGTGAAATCTCATCATCTGTTGGAAAATAATCTCAGCGCCAAACTGTTGCTAAATTGAAAACTTGCGTGATGGCAATATATTTTGCAACCCAAGTCACTATAATGCATTTTGCTGTTAGTCTGGTCTTGAGCAAACCATTAGTTGTATCATTGCTGTTGGTTAGCCAGTCAAATTGTTCAATGAGATACTTTTAAAATCCTAAATGTATGCATACTGTCTAACAGCTCTTTCTCATGCCAAGTATTACTATTTAAGATGGGACATGTTGGGGATTGAATCCAGGATTTTGCACATGCAAAGTGCACACTACACCACTGAGTTACATCCCCACACTTACCTAACCAAGCTGACTC